GTTGTGAAAGTCTATTTCATAGACTTAAGCAAGCATCCAGGTCTTGAAACATCAGTTTTGATCAGGTTATCAAAATTTTGATTTTGAGAGAACCTTGATGAATGATGTGTATTTGTATGTAAATGATACAACAGAAGACAGTAGCTTTTCTGGTACTTTATGTAGATGATATGCTCCTTATTAGAAACAATGTGGAGGTAATATCAAGCATAAAGGGTTGGCTAAGTTAGTGTTTTGGTATGGAAGTACTGGGGAAGCCAATTATATTCTTGGTATAAAACTCTTATGAGGCCGGAAGAATAAGTTGTTGGCATCACCTCAGGCTACTTACATTGACAAAACTCTTGCCAAAATTCAACATGAGAATTCTAAGAGAAGAATTATAATTATCAGATGTGGAATTCATCCTCCTAAGGAGTGACCAAAGACTTCTAAGAAGGAAGAATGCATGAGCAAGATATCTTATGCTTTGGCAAAGGTAGACTCACACATATCATGTTGGGCGTTAAACCAGACATCTGTCACGCAGTGGGAGTAGTGAGATAGTACCATTTTGAACCTAGAGGAATACTAGATTATTGTTAAGCATGTACTCAAGTATCTTTGGAGAACGAGAGATTATATGCTGGTATATTCTAGTGGGAGTCTTGAAAAGCTGAGTTTTCAAAAATTCAGTTATTTCAAGTGGATATTGACTCAAGAAAATCAACCTCGAGCTATGAGTTTTTCACTAAACTCAGATAGCATTAGAGGTGGATCTTGTAGACCCATTTACTAAGAGTTTGCCTGAACTTGTGTTCAAGAGGCATGTTACTTCTTTGGGTCTTAGGAGGATCCCAGACTTGCATTAAGCAAGTGGGAGTTATTGGTTTCATTGTGCTCTTGGAGTAAGACGATGAAACAATAAAATAATTTTCTGAATTTCATAAATAAGGTTTTATTTATTTATTTTGCGCACTATTTACAAACATAAAGGTCCGGATCAAATTGTGGAGTATATGATCATATGGATACGTTCATGGAGGACATGATCATAGGATCTCACAATTGATGAATGGAGTCACAGCCATTAAATAAAGTTGGGCACTTCATTCAGGCTGCAATATTTTATGAAGTGATTTTGTCCGAATCATTGTAAAATATTGGTGTGAATTAACATTCACATTGAAAGGATCAAGGAGAGATTTGATTAAGGTTGTTTTTCTGTCATAAGGTATTAAATCTCCAGTTAACTATAGTTATGTGATTGCTCTTAATCCTGAGTTTATTATAAATAGGTAATCAAATAGTTTTCATTCTTTGATTTACCAACGGGTGAGGTCTGATCTTTTGACGGCCAATAACTCGGTGTTTTGGGAGTGAGATTATTTGATTATCAGTATTTATGAGATAAACAACAAGGAATTTATAGGAAATGTCCCCTTGATATATTTCGGTACTTGGATATTAAAGACACTGGCCAGTGCATGTAATCCATTAGAGAAATTATCAAAGTCAAGGGAATAAATAATTGATTGGGTTACAGAAAACTAATCAATGAATTATAGACATTTTATAAAGGGGCAATGCATATTAATGTTATAAAGGTCATTAATCTTGGAGTTCACGTTCGGGCTTTTAGTGGAGTAGCACCGAATTAGATAATCTTTCAAAGATTATCAGGAGCCTTGATCAATGACAAATGGTAGGTCCCCAGGCTAGCTCGAGACAAGGGATGAGGTATATTATCAGATGATGATAGCTTATGGGCTACATGGCCTTGGGTTTACGAACTCAAGTTTGTATCTTAAAGAGCAAGTGGGAGATTGTTGGATATATACTCTTTTGGTCACTAAAGTCCTATTGGGCTTCAGTGACACATGAGCCCATGAGGCTTAGGGTTGAGTTATGTCTAAGACCTAAGCGTATATATTCATAGTTTTCTCCTCCTGTGCCTCCAAGGTGAACAGATCATCAGAAACAAACCCCAAGAGGCAGACGTTCATCATCTGAACGGTTGCCCACACAACCATCTCATCCTCCTCGAGAGATAGTCTGGAAGATCTGCCACAGTCCAGCTTCAAGGAGGTTATTCGTGCTGTGGCGCTGAGGTGAGCTGTTCCTGAAGAGGAATTCTACAAGGGAAGATTCTACACGAGACCTGCGCACCGAGAGGTAATTGTGAAACAATGATGATTCGGTAAGCATACCAATGTACTAGGTCCTAAACCGCTTCCGCATAAATCTAAGATTTCCTACAGATAACTGTTATGAATAATGTACATGCCAAATATTCACACACACAGGCAAGCTCCAATCTCAGAAATCTGTCAACCAAATATCAAAGATCATCTTCATTTTTTTATCATCCATTGGATATTCATGCTATTTCTGCACAACTCTCACCTACAGCTTTGTCAACTGGATCATCACATGAACCTGGCTTCGTTCATTACATCTCAATAACAACAAAAGTACCTGCCTTCGTTCATTACTCTTTGTAAGGGGTATTTTCGATTTTTTGACATTTTCTCCATCAATCTTTTACTTTCAACCAAACATAGTCTCAATAAATTTTTGTTAATTTTTCTGATAATATTTCGGTCTATCAAATAATTTTTTTAAAATTTCTCCACTAATTTAATTTTTCACCCATTTTCCCACTAATTATATTTACCTGGTAACAAAATTTATCTCCTCTACCAAACACTTCCTAGAAAGTTCAGAGTTTTTTGACATGATAATATTTTTGGTAATATTTTAATTTATCAAATAATTTTTTTATAACATTTTTGAAAAATTCATTTTTTTGACATTGTTTCAACGGAATCAAATATAGAGCAGGGATTGTCTCTTAGCTACAAGGATGAATTGAATTTGAAACCCACATTACAATATCAGCTCTCTTTTCCTTTAATGACTGAATAATCTAATTATCAGCACTATGTTGAATATGACTTTTTTTTTCAAGAACATTTTGATGTCTGGAGAAAATTGAAATTTATTGCGTTATAATCTTCAACAAAATATGGATTATATAGGTCAACTTTTCTACTGGAAGCTATTCGTGATATGTAAGTAAAACTGAAAATAAGATGAGAATTAAAATAAAGGGAAATAGGCTATTAGACATGGATCAAGTAATTGGAGTAGAGAGAGATTAGGATGAAGATAGGACTGTTAAAACGTGTGTGCTGACCATATTAATATACTTAGTTATGCCATATTATTATTAAAAGTTAACATATTTTTTCCACGTTTCTAGGGTTTCTCTTTCGAGAATAAAAAAAAGTTTTTCAAAAAATTGCCTGAACTGCTAATTGACACGGCTTTCCATTCAACAGTGGGAGAACATAATCCCTAAGCTTTACTTTCATTTATTTTTTTTTATTTTTTTTAGAAAAGAAATTTTTCATGCCTTTGCAAATTGTACGGGGAAATATGAAATACGAGAGAAATATTTCAAATAAACACAGAAAGAAATTAGAGTATGTTGACTCTGACGAGTCAGTTTATTTATTTATTTTTATCATCTATGTTATCCTACATTATTATAAAAAAATTAGTTCAATAATTTTTACTATTTTCTAAAACATTTTTATTTGAGATTATTAAAAAATATTTCTTACGTTATTAATATATTGCTATATTATTGTTACATAAATTTCAACACAATGTAAGCAACCATAACTATTAAAAAAAAAAGTAACTATAGAAGTTTCACTTTTTGTCATAAAAAAAATCTTAAGTTCATTATCTTAATTACATAGGCCCCTATGTATCCCCATTCTTATTTTTTAGGAATTTTTTTATTTAATTTAACGTATCACATTTTGGAATCAATTTATATTCAGTTTCAATATTTTTTAGAATATAATCTATGACGAGCGCTTTTCTAACATGAAGTCAACATCTTGTGCGATATCTCAACTTATCTTAATAAAATTAAAACCTCACAAAATTTTAATCTTGGTTTCCCTCTCTCCCTTGAAATGAGGATATGCATATGTATAAAGAAATTCCATAATTTTAAATATTATACTCCTTACCTTTGCATGTTTTCCATTAGTATTATTCAAATTGAGAATAAAATCATAAGTTTTATGCTATATTGTGTTTGAATAGCATTTTCATTTTTTGTTAGTACTACTAATTTTAAATGAAAAATAATGCTTAAGAGTAAAGTTGGATATCATTACTACCACACCTTTATTTTAATTTTTATTGCTGGGGGCAGTAGAGGGTGTTGGCAACTTGGCGTAGCCCCATAGGTACACCTTTCATTTGCCATGAGCAGTGTGTCGCAAGTCGAAGCATTTATCTGGTTTTAGAGGTTTGGGCTTACTATTTTTTTGTCCACGAGGCTTAAAATCAAAGGCCTAATAGGACTCCACTCTGAAATTTTCGAACTCTGTTGGCCATGGACGGTTAAAACAAATAGAAACAGTAACTTCATGGGCTCAAGTGGTCCAAATCTGCTTACCACAGAACATAGAACCTCTAAGAGTTAGGAGGAGTATAAAGACCCAATTTAAAAAAGAAAAAGTGTATTTTGAAGGACATAAAGTTGTGTCATTCTAAGAAAGAGAAAGAGATAAATCATATGAGAGAGAATGGGTGAAAAAAAAATTAAATGTGTAAGGTGTGTCGTTTAAAATGACAAACATTTTCCCCGTTTAATAATGTATTAATTTTAAAGGAAATTTTGCCTTTGAGGCAGAAAACATTTATCTGTCATTGAGAGAGAAATATTTTATATTTTATATGGACATTTCACATTTTAAACGACATTTCACATTAAAAACTAAAAAGATTATGGTACACAAATTTTTCTTCATATTTTATATGAACATAATTTTTACTATATAGTGTATCAAACTTTATCCCCTTTTTTTTGCTTTCAATCTCCTTTCATAATTACAAATCAAACAGAGATGGAAACGAAGCGCATTTGATTGAGACTGTTTAAGTTGGATGAACTTGTTTGAATGGGGTAGAGTCAAAAAGCTACATAACACTCTGGCGCATCATTTCTACATTACATTGTTGCTTGAGAAATAGTTGTTCTCGGGCCTCAATACCCAAAGCTAAAACTATGATTTGCTTCTTGACTGATGCTCCCTACAAGTTCTTCCTATATTACAGCCTACTAAGCTTGAAGAAAACACACACTGCAACAAAGATCATTCCATAGCCTTCAATAGATATACATGGGGAAAACAAGAAATCCCACAATGCAGTAGACAGCAAGCATGACTAACCATGGATCACTCCAGGATTAGTTGCCTATGGCGGTTCAGGTCCTTCAAGTAATTAGAGCATGTATAATCTTCCAAGTCACATGCCTCTAACATGAGAGATTTTGGTGCAACTGAAATTTGCTTGGGGTCTATAGTTGCCTCTTCACCCTTTAGTAGCGGCACAACCTATTTGTTATCAAAGAAACAAGTCATGTTCTAGCATCCAAAGGTGAAACAATGTTTGGATTAAACAAAACTGAAAGAAAGGGTGTTATAATCATTTTCTTGCCTGATTCATGTATGGTCGCTTGGAGGATGCATGGTGGACACACATGGAAGCTATCATCATGGCACGCCTCATTTCAGTAGGATCATATTCCCCTTCTAATCTGGGGTCTGCTATTTCCTTTACATTGTTTGCATCCAGCAGTGGCTTGGCCTGACAAAAGTAGATCATGGTCATCTTTTTGTCTTACTCAAATTAATAGTATGAAAACTTCAGCAGAACTTTGGAATCTATAATGTATAATTCATTGGTTAAGCCTATTACACTCACCTAAATGGAAAATTCATTTTGGATATTCCATGATATATAAGGGGGATTATGAAGACTTACCCATATCACAAGACTTTGCTTGCTATTTGAATCAACTGCACGACGACCTGTTATGAGTTCCAATAACAAAACCCCAAATGCGAATACATCAGTCTTCTCGTCCACAAGTCCATGCATAAAGTACTCCGGAGCCAAATACCTGCCAGCCAGCCATTGATGCATCCCAGTGTTTTAGAAAATGAAGTTAGAATAAGAATAAAATACGTAAGAGCCATTGTGGCTGCAATACTAACCCAAATGTGCCTTCTATTGGGAAGACAACATGGTGGATCCACTTATTTGGGAGCCACTTGGCCAGTCCAAAATCTGAAATCTGAAGTTCATAACAGAACGAATTATTTTCCTTGCCTTGTATGGTAAGAAAGAATCTAAAATGAAATTCATAATTTATATAATAAGCTGCTAAAATCATACCTCAGCTTCATAGTTTTGGCCGAGTAATATGTTGGAGGCTTTGATGTCCCTGTGAATGATTCTTTTTGGGCAATCTTGATGGAGATACTGCAATCCCTCTGCTACCCCAATAGCTACCTTGAACCTTATCTTCCAACACAAGCATTCAGAACCTGACATGTTGAACATCTCTTTGTTAGTCATAGAAAAATAGAAGAAGTGCAAGAATAGAAAGAAGACATGAATGTAGAAAGTAAGAAATGGATGGAGCACCATACCAAAAAGCAAAGAAGCAAGGCTGCCATGTGAAGCAAATTCTAGGACAAAGTAGAGGCCATGATCGATCCCAAACCCAACAAGGCGTGATGCATTTGGGTGGTTTATGTGTGCAATAATCCCAAGCTCTGTCAAGAAATCACAAGCTCTGTCCCCTGCATCCTTTTCGTTCTTCATTAACCTCTTTATTGCTACAACTTGACCATCGGATAAGTATCCTTTGTATACTTCAGCATGACCACCTTTCCCAACCAAGTTCTCTATGGAACCACAAATACCAACATTAAAACAAATGAAAAGTCTTGTTTTGGAATAATTGTTATTGATCTTATTAGTAGGTGTAGCTTCTAAATTCCGGCACATAATTAAAGATCAAAAGATTTATTCAATTTACTTTAATAGGACCAAAAGGACAATCTCAAAGGCTCACCAACATTCCCATGGAATTTTGACTTTGACTTAGAAGCATAATTTGGCAACTAACTGCATTTAAGTTGAATGGCTCAAATAAAAATTAACTCTAATGCTGAAACGTTATTCGACTGGCTCTTTATTCAAACTATTTGTCAACGGATTTTCGTTGAAATTATTTCAAACATTGACTAATAGTCGAGATTTTAGAAAATAAATATAAAGCATACTGGAAAATTAGTCAAAAATAAAGGCTAAAAATTTAATACACTTGTTGCTATTTAGTCTAGTGGAATGCTGCTTCACAACTATTATGCTACATGTAAATTTTATTTTTGTAAAAGTAGCGTGATATATACATATATTTAAATAGAACAAGATCAAAAGTGAATAACTTTGTGCACACTAATCATAAATTGTGTCAAGTAGCTTTTATTTATTTATTTATGATTTGGGATATTCCGGGTCAAATCTTATTAGTTTGAATGAATAACTACCACAAGGATTGAAAGCAACATACAGACAAAATTCATCATATATATATTGATTACTACGGCTACTGACTAAATAACTCAACCCCAGTGCCTGTAATGTGAATAGTGTCCAACAAATGACATTCACCAACCATTTTTGACACCATCAATAAACTTCTTTGGGAAGATGTGAGGGGCCAACTAAGCCATACCGTTGATAAATTCAAAATAACCAATTTATTAGTTTGGCACATGCTTAAGCTATTTGATGAAAATCAACTAAGGAGTGTTCTTTCCTTACTAGTAGATTATTCACACTGATATTCCTCTTTTCAAAGGACACACTGCCCAAGCCCAAAGGCTAATATTGTCGGATGGTGTTGGTAAACCAAAAGCAAAAACAAACTGCACGCCTAAGCATTTTTAGGGAGAAGCTTTCTAAAAGTGATTTTGTATCTACTTTTAAGTATTAATAAATTTAAATGAAGAGCTATTTTAAATTGAATTAAAAATAAATACATCCCAATTAATTGTGCAGTGTAAATACAAACTAGTGAAGTAGGCTTGCCCTTATATTTAAGGTGACAGACTTTAGCACCAAGCAGGCACTGGCAAACAGCACAGGCCTGCTCCAAAACCTAAAGAGTGTAAGAGGGCCCCATCATAATTATTTGTCCTTTTCTGTCGACAGGAAGAAACAGGAGCCCTATCCTTTGGTCAAAAAGGTCGTCTACTCTACAGTTTGCTCCCTTTCCAAGAAAAAAATGTTTGGCAATAACCAACTTCCAAGCAGTTGACTTAATCAACCTTTTTCCAAATTAATTGAAATCTAAACTGATTTTTTCCTAGATTTGCAAACTGCAAAATTTAATTTAGAAAACTTTCTTAGAAATATTAAGATAAACTCTTTTACCATTTATGAAAGGTTTTACAATGAAAACAATATGTTATAATTATATCTAATAACACGAGAATCTATAAAAAGATTTTGGAAGACGAAGTTATCATTCCCCATTTTATATCTTAGCGTAGAAAAACAAATAAGATTCATACTATTGTCCAATGCTGAGGAATATACTGTAGTAATAAGAATGTTTTTCTTCTGCTAATCGTGAACGGTGAAAACCATATAATTAACAAAATTTATATCTACCACAGAAAATAGATTGAAATTATTCACCAAATAAAAAGAGAACAAAAAAACAGAGGAGGTAGAAGATAGAAAGTAAATTGATACCAGAACTGAAATCACGAGTTGCAGCTGCGAGCTCTGCGTAATCGAAGTTCCTCCAAGAGGGTTTCGTAGCAATAGCTCCAATATCAATACTATCTTCCGCACTCCGAATACGAGCCAACTTCTTTGTCAACCCTTTCTTAGATACTTCATGTGTCGTTGAAAGCAGAGGAATGCTTGTTAATTTTCGCACAGACTTGAACTTGAAAACGTCAATCATTGACTTCCATTGCATAACGTGACTTTCTCCGCCAACTGCTCTTTCCGCCGTCTCTGCCGGATTCTTCTCCGGCGAAAACGAGCTAAAACTGCTGCTTCCACTGTTATCGGACTCTGTCCCCGAAACAGGGGCTTCTAGTATCCCTCTCGGAGATCCCTCATCGTCGCTCGAAATTTCTTTTCCGTGATTACCCATTGATGCAATTTCTGGGTTTTACCTCCCTCTCTCTCTCTCTCCCTGTTTTTTTTTTGCCCCTTCTTCTACACTCTATGAACAAACAATAAACACCGCAAGTTGCAGAGGAAACAGGGAAAAGAAAAGAAATTAAAAAAAATTCTCTTTTTTCTGCCAAAAAAAAAAAAAAATGTTGTAAATATAAATTAAAAAATAAACAATCTAAAATCAAAGTGCTTTTCTGGTAAAACTTTTATCTATTGTTACCAGAAACAGAGGAAGTTATTCAAAACACAGGGTGGCCTTATGCAGGGTAATGAAAGCTAACCTTAAACTGTTATGGTGGGAGGGTTCATTCGAGAGATTCGAAACCCAAAAAGCTCGTGCCCCCACACCTAAAATCTAGAGAAGGACTATTAACGTAACAGGTGAAAAAAATCCTTCTTTACATTTGGTGAGGGCTTGAGACACACAGAGAAAGAGAAAGAGAAAGAGAAAGAGAAAGAGGGATGAAAGTGGGTTCTGAATGAAACCAAAAGGGATAACAGAGAAGAAGGCTTCTAAATTGGTATAAATGTCTTTGAACGGTGCTTATTCTTGGGAACAGAGGAGCATGCAAAATCCAGCTTTGAGTGTGAGCCTTGGAATATTTGCTATATTTATACACGTCTGTTTTTTCTTTTCTTTTCTCTTCTTCTTTTTTTATTATTTGTTTGATTTTGAGCTTTTTAAATTGGTTTCTTTATCTATTTTCTTGGATTTGGAGCTTAGGGTTTATTTCGATGTTTATGTTGAGTAATAATCTTTAAAATTGAACTTGAAACAATAATTTTATTTAAATGATAATGAAGAATTATATTTAAAGTCTAAATATGGATATATTTTGTAAAAATTTATATAATTTTTACACTAAATTTAATTTAATTTACCGAAAATATAAAAAAATTTTTTTTTTCTTAAAACTAGTTTTTCTTATGGTCAAATTTATTCTTAAAACTAAAAATTTAAAACAGACTGTGAATATTTATTTGTCCTGCAAAACGTACTGGGACACAATTATTATAAGGATGACAAAGAAAATAAAAAGTTTTTATTAGTAATGAAGTGCTGCTCGTGACTTTTGCCGTAACTAACGCACAAAAGCACCAGTGAAGTGGGAACATGCGTAGCAAAAGTTTTCGTGAAAAGAAAAAAAAAAATGTTTGATAATCCAAAATATTTCTATATTTAAATAGAGATGTATTTAAAAATATATATTTATTATTATATAATGTTTATTTAATGTTGCTACTTGCTAATATATTTTATTATTATTCAATAGGATTCGTTTCTCTGCAGTTAATGCAGATAAATTATCTACATTAAGTCCAAAATAATATTATTTTGAAACAGAAATTAAAATATTTTTATAATTTTAATTTATTTCAGGGTTATAATAATCTTTATAATTAAATTTTTTAATATTTCAATATCAATACAATATCGTTTTGCAAGTAAATTTAGATAAATATCTGCATGCAGAAATATTTTTTCTGTATGCAATAAAGTTAAAACCATTCTTTCACTAACCATTACATATGTTATACAGTGAATGGATATATCATTTTATGACTCAATATACATCTATTTCATATATTAAATAAAAAATAAACATATTTAGGGATATGTTAATTAATTAATAACCGAGTCTCGAAGAGACGCATCTTTCAGCACTAAATAGATATGTCTTTTCAAATTTCAATAACAAACATACTTATTTATTTAACAAATGATAACTTTGCATAATGAAAGGGCAAATTAAACTCTGGTTATCTTGCATATTCAAAGGATATGTTAATTAATTAATATCCAACTCTTGAAGAGACGCATCTTGCTGAACTAAAAAGATATCTCACCAAATTATAGTAGCTCAGTTGGCGCATATGAACTGAACAGGTAAAGGTAAAAACGCGTGTTTATTTCTTTTTAGTATTATTTTTGGGAGAGATTTGAAACCTTAATTCTGGATCCGCTCTAAACAGAATTGTCTCCCAAGAAAAAATACTCGTGGTTTATAAAAAAAAATATGCTTTTTCAATAACAAATATACTATTTATTTAACAAATGTTTGTGTTCCATGTTAAAAAGGCAAATTAAACTCTGAATCACCAAAAGAAAAACACCCACAGACACCAATTTTAATTCTAACTAAATATTCTGTTTCGGCGGTCTTCGTTAAAGATTTGAAGGGAAAATCAAGATCTATTCATTAATATCCAAATTGGTGTAATTTTTTTTTTTTAAGAAAAATAGAACTTGTCTTAGATGAGTTCAACATCAAGTTGCATATGTTGTCCGGTTTATGCTTCATCAAAGTTGCAGCAGGTACCCATAACTTAGACCATTGCGCTGCTCAGTTCACCTTGTTTGTTTCTTCATTAAACTTGGGAAACGTGTCATGCTCTTCATCATCTGTGCTTGGATTAGGAATTGAGGATCACCCAATATAGCAGTTTCATCTTCTGGGTCACTTAAAAAAACCATGTTCCTTCCCCTTCCTGTTGTTATCTGATTCAAGTTCCTTCCCTTCTCTCTTTTACCTGCATCACTGTATTCAAATAAAACCTTGGTCCTCTGCACCCTAAACTAAATGTTATTTCATTTAACATTGCAATCAATTTTAGCAGTATCCTAAAATTCGGACTTTCTATTGTAATCAAATTATCGCAAATGTAATCGTCGCACTGACTTTAATCTTGTATATATAAGAGTAGGATGATTAATTATACGTGTATGTTGCATATTCAACCTTAACCATTATCCTATTTATATCTGATAATCCTAATTTATGTGGGCATATCATCTTCTGATCTTATTTTAAAAAGGTAGTGTGCAATTTGTGGCAAAAAAAAAAAGAAACCATCTTATGGTTTTGCCTTGACTCACTTATACTCCTATGCTTTTTTTAATCACTTACCACATATAATTTTTCCATCCAAACCCATATTTAACATCATTATAAATTAAATTAATATGTCTATTTTACTCTTTTTAAGATAAGAAATAGGCTGTCGACCAAAACAATAAAAATTAAATATGTCTAAATAAAAAAGAAGAAAATAGATTGAGGACAAAAAAAAATGGGTTTTAGAATTCTCATTTAACATGAGAATTGTAATTTTCCTACACACCCTTCGATTTCCGTTCTGACATGGGTCCTACATATAATTTTTTCTAACACATGGGTCTCACATGCTTTTTATCTCTACAACATGAGATTTCAATTCTCCTTCAACATGAAAATTATAAAAACCAAAAAAAATATGACTAAATATTTTGGAAACTTCCCATCAATGTTATTAAACTCGGACCGGTGATCGACCCGATCGGGGTACCGGGTCAGTGGGTCACTGATTCAATCATTGGGTCACTGGTTCAACCGCATGAATCGAATATGTATATAAATTTATATTTTATACTTAATTATATAATATATACTTTAAATAGTGCAAGAGAACCAATAAACATATATAGCTTAGTGGTAAACACTCTAATTTATATCTTCACAACAAAGGTTCGATTCCCACTATATGTAATTTTTAAATAATTTTATTAAATGATATGTTATATATATTAAATGGTGCATATTAACCAACAAACTAACTCAGCCTAGTGGTAAGCTTTCAATATTGAAATTATTTTTTCCAAAACCGGTTTGAGCAATAAAACTGATTCGACAGTTAATACCTGAACACTGCTTCCAATTGTAACAAAAAAAAACTAAAAGTAAAAAAACGAAAAATAGTCTAAATAAAAAATAAACTGAAGACAAAAAAGGAATAGAAGAAAAAATAAGATCAAATATGTTAAAAATTTACAACACTGAGTTCTTTTCCCTTTTATTTTATTTTTTTGTCGTATTTTTTTTTCATTTCTTTTAATAGTGATAGAAAAGATTAAAAGTGAAAAAGAAAAAGAAAAAAATAGACTGAGCACAAAAAGAAGAAGAAAAATTAGTGATTTTTTTCTTCTAATTTTTTTTGTTTATTTTTTTTATCTTTAATATATTTTCTTTTCTTTTTATTTAGATTTTTTATTTATTTTACTTTTAATCTTTTGTGTAAGTGTTGTAAGTTTTAATATTTTTTGTCGTACATTTTCCTTTTTTTGTCATAAGTATATTCTTTTTTCCTAAAAAAGATAAAAGAAACAGATTAGTTAAATTTGGGGTTTTGACCTAAGAAATTCAAAATTTAAAAAAATTCACCTGTTTAGTTCGTTGACCAAACGTTTCACCGGACTAATGCAGGAAGACGCGTTTCATGTGGTTACGCGTTTAGTCTGTTGAGATATATAGTCCCAACTAATGTGGAGTTTATAAGGTCTTGGGCACTCCCACCCTTTGAGCTAGCTTTTAGGGAAGTGTATCCCAAGGTTCTTTACATGGTATCAGAGCTTCGCCGCCCCCCACTTTCTCTTGTGGCGTTTCTTAGCACAGGTAGGCTGGGCCTGTTGCATTGTCCACTCTTCAAGCCCAATGGGCTCTCGTGTGAGGGGGCGTGTTGAGATATATAGTCCCAACTAATGTGGAGTTTATAAGGTCTTGGGCACTCCCACCTTTTGAGCTAGCTTTTGGGGTGGTGTATCCCAAGGTTCTTTACATAGTCGCGCATCTGACATATGCGTGTTTCTGACAAATCTGAACACGTATGTACCAGGTACGTGTCTAAACATGTATGTACCAGGTACGCGTTTCTGAATGTGACGCGACTATGCCACGAAATACGTGCTTGAATATGACGCATCTTGGTATTGCGCTTGTCAGACTTGTCAGAAACACGCACATGGTACAGACGTGTTCAGATTTTTCAGAAACGCGCATGTGTCAGGTGCGCGACTAAACGCGTAACCACCTGAAACGCCTCTTCCTGCATTAGTCCGGTAAAACGATTGGTCAACGAACTAAACAAGTTGATTTTTTTGAAATTTGCATTTTTTTGATCAAAAACCCGTTAAATTTCTAACGGTATTAAGAATGAATTTGAATGAAAAAAATATAAGGATAGTGATTAGAAAAAGAAGGTTAAAAATATAAGTGATTCAAAATAAAATTACAGGGAGGTTTTTGAACTTAAAAAAAAATCTTAATACCTTTTATATACTTCATTGTATTGTATATAATAATGCACGCATGTTGTGAGAAATCAAAGGAAGCAATAGAATGCAGTTATTTTTTTAAATAGATAAATAGGAGACAAAGCAGATAATTAGGTCTTGACATTTACCAATTTATTGGTGTGTGTTTTTTTAGCAAGGAAAAGGTGATTAAGAGCAAATAGCTAGGGACATATGTCCTCAGGGTCAGGGACAGTGAGTACTCCTTTCAAATTTTTATTCTGCAAGTGGTGTAGGACACCAATAGTTGAGTCTGCTTCCCTTGTGCTTGTAGTGTTGGCTACCAGCATCATTGTAATTGGGCAGGTGAAGGGACCTCCATGTGTTTGTTATATTTTTACATTAGCCAGTTCGAAATATAAATTAGCAAATTTGAGTGAGTTCCAACCTTGGTAGCTCAACTTATCACCCCTATTTTATATTAGGCAAAAATGAAAATTAACTGACTCGATCGTCCAGTGCACTAAGTTCTTCTAGGAAAATATAGTTATAATATTTACTATAACTGTATTCTCGCGGGAGAGCTTAGTGTACTAGACCAAATTTTATATCCAGTCACTGTACACTCACTAAACTCTTTATATTATTATTCTTGTTGCCTTTAAAATGGCTCAAAATGAACTGCATATTTGCTATGTTATTAGTCTGAGAAATAATTCTTGAATATCATTTAATGCACATAAAAATGCATGAAAATATTTGTAATAAACATTAAATGAATTATGTTAATTTTGAAGTGATTGGGATATTAAAGTGGGGATATTAAATCATCATCTTTGCTAAGTATAAAGAATGTTACTTTAATAATTTTATATTAAATTCCTCTAACGCATTCTTTTATTTTATTTTTTATTGGGCTTAAAATATAGATGATGCAAATATCCATTTAAATACAATAGCTCATGGGGTTTAAAGAATAAATTGTACATAAATCCACCTACTTGTGCTAAAAAAATTTATAATTAAATATTTATTAGAAGAATGAGAGATGATGATAAATAAATTTATAATCGAATTCGTGATCATTGAGATACCATATTAAATAAATTTCTCAACAAAAATTTAAATGAATTACATTAATTTTGAAGTGAGTAAGTATAACCCAAATAAATGTTCAAAATAATAATAATAATAATCAAATGAAAAGTACGAATCACTTAATTTCAGACCAGGTAAAGGTTTTCTGTCACCATACGAGTTACTTAAAGACTAGGATATTAGTTTCGCAACTCACTTTGCATGATGTTGCTGCAAAGCATTTCATGATTGCAGGTGGCAACTAATCATTCCAAAAAAAAGCAGAGTCAAAACATGCTAGATCAGTTTAACGCAAAACAAGCCATAAACAAGTTAGCTCGTTGACTAATCCTGTTTGACTCTGTTTTTACTTACAGGCAAGTCTATAATTTGTGTGAGGAGGAGAATAATAGGTAAACCGTAACTGTAAGCAAAAACGATGTGGTCAAATCTAATTTCCTTAAAATTGTCAATTAAAACAGTTAGATACAAATATAATCAATAATTAAGATCACAGTTTTTATTCTTATTTTGATGTAAATTGATTTTTCTTTATAACAAATAAGATCAAAGATTAAGGTTATGAATATAATTTAAACTCGTGTAAAATAATCTTGTCTATTTATATATGGGTAAAGAATTTCTCCCGTCAGTCAATGGAGATAAGTTATTTTCGGTGAGTCCAAAACGACATTGTTTTGAAGCAAAAATCAATGCGTTTTTATAATTATAATATATTGCAGAGTTATATTAGTCTTTATCATTATAATTTTTTAATCTTATAACCTCAAAACGATATTATTTTGAGGTCACTGAAGATAACTTTATCTCCAATGACTTGAGTTGAGAAATATTTTTCCCTTTATATATATTAAAAAATATAGTTCAAAGATCTTATTCATTTTTGACTCGTACGTTCTTTGTCTGGTTGAACTGCGGTCCCCCTCCTTGATATACACCCGCAAATCTCGCGCCAAAAAACAAAAGCATAAAGCTCAATACCAAAACCAGCATTGGAAAAAGATTAAGAGAGTTTTTCTAACTTTCCCAAGTACCAAAGAGAGAAAAAGAAAAAAAGAAAAAGAAAAATCAAGATATCATATCCACTGCCAATGTGTTATGTCACGTTAATTAATTAGTTATACCGCAAACTCAAAGTTAAGTATTATGATATTAGATATCTTTCCATAGGGTCACTGTCACACGCAAGAAAGAGCTTAAAGAGTGCAGCACTCTTGGTTAAGTGGGTGAACTAAACCCGTTAATGTGTTTTTTTTTAATTAGCAATTTACAAAGGCTTTAATCTAAAATCCCACCAAGTCACCCGCGTCACTTCAGTTAGGGAAGTGGGCTTAACTGAATTCCATCGACGTCTTTAAAGCACATGAGCCAATAAGAACCATAACGATTTGTTGGGACCCTCTCAATTTTTATAAAGGGTTTAAACAGAAATGCTACTTCAAACTGAACCAACGAAGATATCCAATTCTTCCCTCCAATGTTTCTTTCTAACACTGCCTAGTTTTTGACCGGTTTTGATAATCAAAGATTCAAAATTCAAGGTGGGGCACCAACTTAAAGGGATAGACATTGACAGAGACGACTCGGGTGGCGAAAGGATATACAAGATCTTTTAGGGGATGATCCCAAAGCGGGTTAGTTGTGCAACTTCTCAAATGGATTACAATGGATTTGTTCCCTCTTGATGATCTAGTGAGTTAGGCATCCACATAATAATTTAGTAACTGTTGAATAGAAAACAATATCAAAAACCCAAAATTGAAATTAGCTAGTTCACTACATGACATATGTCGCAGGTAATGTCTTTGGCATACATGTATGCGAGGGCTTTGGACACGTTAGTTAACCTCTATATGACCTTTTAAAAGTAAAGGATTGTAATTACTGAGATCTTAGGGGACTTTGCTACTTTGATTTTTTTATTTTTTATTTTCAAAGATCTTCAATAGAAATTAAAAAGTTTATTGAAAAGAAATTGGGTAAAAAAAGAGATCTTCTAAGACATCCGAACGAAATTAAAAACTTTAATTTACTAGGTTTCACACAAGAAAATCAATCGAGATTCTAATAAAAATGATTATCACGAAATCTTGTCATAGGTAAGAATATACCCGTATATAATAAATTGGGTTACTTATTCTTGAGAGTGAAATAATTTATATTTTTTATTTCTCCGCCAAACACGAATAAATCTTCATTGAAAATCACATTTTTTTATGTTTATTACTCCCAATTCAATTTAACTTTTCTATTTCTTTCTCTATATCTTTAATAAATAAAATATGCTTAAATAATTTTCAATTTTGCTTATTTAATTAATTATTTATGTGCTTAATCAAATGTAAAATTTCTATAGATAAACTTCTACAAATATTGATTGAATCAATAATTAGGTATTTTCAAGCATATATCTATATATACATAATAGTACAGTCTTTTAACTTCACTTATTTAAAGTTTCACATTCAATTTTTGAATAAATTATGTATATATTATTTATAACTTTAATTTTTTTATTTTAGTTTGTATTTTTAGTTTTGTTTCTAAATTAATTATTCATAATTATCTTATGATTCTAAATATTTTTATACCTTTTATTTATTTTTAAAAAAGTTACCTAAATTTAAATTTACTTGTGTGATGTATGAGCTAGTTGCTAGTTAATTTGTATTATTTACAGTTTTTTTAGGGGTGTGGTACAATGTGGTTGAATCCTTGTTTCCTTTCTAATTAGTAGGACTATATTGCCTTGACAGCTATTATCACTTTTACAACATAACTTATTCATAGTAAGAGATTTAGAAAAATATAAAAAAATAATGAAAAAAGGCGTACAAAACTTAGAGGGGAATAGTGATAATGCTGTTAATAAATCAAACCGAGGCAAATGAGCATTGAATTAATTTGTTGATCTGGTAAGTCTTTTTCTTAAAATGGAATGACCTCGTCTTCATGTAAAAACTTCTTTGAAAAGTGAAAAAAAAACAAGCAAATAAACATGATAATCCGGTAGGTCTTTTTTTCTTAAAATGGAATGACCTCGTCTTCATGTAAAGACTTTTTTGAAAAGTGAAAAAACAAGCAAATAAACATGATAATCCGGTAAGTCTTTTTTTCTTAAAATAGAATGACCTCATCTTCATGTAAAGACTTTTTGAAAAGTGAAAAAACAAGCAAATAAACATGATAATCTTCCCTATTCATTTTATTTTTTTTTGACTAGGGTGAGAAGAGGAGGGGGATTCAGAGTTGTAGACTTGTAGGGAATGAACATGATCCAACATCTTTACGAGGCACAAATTTAATCATTGAAATAAGGGCCAAGGCCCAAACTGAAGAAAGAAATGCAATGATACCCCAAATTATATTTGGGCCACGGCTACAAGAATGACAATCAATGATTTCCTTGGCTGGTTGAAATTTTTATGTAGTGAATCAAATCGTCGAAGCTGGAGTAAGAGGAACCACCTGGACTCACACTCTTGTGGGCTAACATAGACATTGCCTTAGCTGATATCAGAAACTCGTCCCTCCTATGGACCATGACATCATTCACCATTTTCTCCACAACATTCCTATCACACACATCCTTCATGTCCAACCCAAGTTTCCAAGCCTCACTCACAAACCTGCTGTTAATCTGCTGATCCGCAAAGTAAGGCCAGCAAATCATGGGTACCCCAGCCACCACACTCTCTATGGTTGAGTTCCACCCACTATGTGTCATAAAACCACCAATGGCCTTGTGTGCCAATACCTATTAGAGAAATATAATCAATTATTTACCAAACAATTTAAATCTTTATAGGTTGAATGGTGTTTTACATGATCCTATAATTACTTGGATATTTACTCTCATTTTAATAATAAATAATTAAATATTATGAAAATTTTGAATAAGGATAAACAATAGATATGTGTACTATTCATCTTTAGGGTGACAAGTCTAATATATTTTTGTGTAAGAGGTCCTCTATTAGATAAACATAAAATGATTAAGCTTTTATTTTGAAATAATATATATTTTATAATACCTCTTCTTGTGGGGCCCATTCCACCATGAACCCTCTATCCTTGGTCCCCTCCTCCACCTCCACTGGAATCTTGTCCTCACCCTCTTTTCCTGCCACCAAGTCAGGCCGCATCACCCACAGGAACCGTTTCTTGCTATTAACCAAACCGTGCCAAATCTCCATAAGCTCCATCCTTGTCACGAGCGTTACACTGCCGAAGCTGACATATATCACGGACCTCTCGGGCTGAGCGTCGAGCCACGCCATGCAGCTTCTGTCCACTTCAAAAAAATTGTTCTTAAATGAAGGATGAGGCAAGGAAGGTTTGGCTAGCGCTGCTGTTTTTCTCATGTTCAAATGGTGGTGGAGAGGGCCAATGGTGTAGAGTTTTGGGAAGTGAAGACGTATTTGGGAGAGTACAGGGCCTTCTAGGTCCTCGAATGTGTTGAGTATGAGTGCGTTTGCTCGAAGTGATTGTTGGGTCTGGAAGACCATGGAGTCCAGATGAATGTGCCCTTTCTTCTTTGGTCGGCAGAAACTTGGAAGATCTCTACACCGAAGCAAGTTTTCCATCCCAGGTGTACTCGTTATGATGCGATCCATGTCGTCATCCCCTTCAACATACGTCACATTCATATGTCACGTTATAATTTGCGTATATAAATACAGTTTTATGTTTGTTATGTTAGATGTCTTAACTTCAGTTTCTTACCCACGTAACAAAAAGGAGAAAGAAAGAAAAATAATAAAAGAGGGAAAAAAATAGACCTCACCCCTTTGATGTGTGTCTAGAAATGTAGAGTTAAGTTATGTAACTTAACAAGCATAAAACTCATATAAATATGGCTTTAATGAATATAAATAAGTTATCTATGTTCTCTCTCAAAACAACGTGATTTTGGGTTGAAAAATTAAAAAAATTATAATAAAAAAGACTATTATAATCCTGAAATAAATTATAACTACAAAAATACCTTGATTTTCACCTCAAAATGACGTCGTTTTGGGCTCGATATAAATAAGTTATCTACATTGACGGTAGAAAACGCAAACCCTATAAATATACTTAAATGAAACTTAATAATGAGGAAAGATCTATTTACAAATTTTTGTATACTCTTAAAAGTACATAGTATAACCTAGTGTACTTCTGAAAATACATAATGTAATTTATAAAAATTTGTAAAAAAAAATTTGTAAATATAACTCTTCTTTTAATAATTGTCACTGGGTATGTTTCTATTTTAAGAGAGTTAATTTAGTATGTAATACAGAGAATTAAAAATATTGTCCAATATGGTTGCTGCTCTCAATGTATCAAAATGGGTCAAACAACACAAAATGTTTAGAATAATCCCATGAGCAAAAAATAAAATTCTGTAAGTTCAATATAAATACTTGAAACAACAATTATAATTTCCGAGATTAAGTTAACCAGATATACGCAATTAATTCGAGAAATTAGGAAATATTTAAATAAATAAAAAAACAAAATTCTGATAAAACTCTTGAGTAATTAGTTTAATGTAATTCTCCCATTTTAACAGAAATTGGTATATCACTCCATGGAAAGCACACACATGAATAAAGATATGATGTAGATAATTAGAGAGCTAGATCAGATGAACCTGAGTGGATACATACCTTTAATGGGAAGTTCGTTACACTCAAAGAGCTTCGGAACACATAAATAAGCCCAAAAGCAGCAAGCACTGATGGTTCGAAAATGAATGAGTGGTATCCCAAGCTCACCAGCCAAGTCAGTGGTAAGGCTTCCGAACATACCATCCCCTATAAAACAACTGATCCTCGGTTTTGCAGGACTCTCAGATACCAAAATGTCTCTCAAGAGGGGCTTGGCATGCGAATTTATGGAAGTAATGACGTCACCTACTCTGTCTCCGAATCCGGGATGCTGCTGCAGGTCCTGTTCTTCGGTATAACAATCAGAGATGGTTTTGAATTGGAGTGTTGGATGGTAGCATGCTGAAAGAGCTTCAATATCACCAAAACGAATGAGACGGTGGTGGATATACTCAGTGTTGAGGAAGGTGACATGTAGATCATTAAGAACAAGAAGTTCAGCGAGCTTAAGCATGGAAATTATATGGCCCTGTGCTGGACAAGGAAAGATGAGCACATGTGCACCTGCTGCTGCTGCTGCTGTACATTTCTCTTTGACTTTCGTCTCGGCTTCCATTGCCTTAGATATTAATTTTCTCTTTTCATCAATCTTTTCTGCTCTAGCCTCTAGCATCATCGCCTTTGATATTGTGTTGTGGACTTGTGGCCCTGGCTGCTGGCGCGATACAATCAATAATGTGTCCAAATTAAGACACACGACAGTGTCCGATATTTTTTCTAGAAAGGCCCAGTGATGGATGACCGTACACGCATACAAAATAACCAAACAAAAAAAAAATGAACTGAAATATAAACTGAGATGCACTTTTTAAAATTTAGTTCATAAATCCAATTGATTTTTAAATAATCCGTTCATGAATTGAATTAATTTTTAAAAATTAGTTCAAGAATTGAAAAATCATTCATAAACTGGTTTTGTTTTCTTTTCTTTTTTCTCTCTTTTTTTTTAATTTTTATATTTTTCTTATTTATTTATTTAGTGGCTTCTTTTATTTTTAATTTATTTCTTTAATTTTTATATTTTTTTTCTTTTCAAAATAAGTTTGACTTCAATTTATTTTGAACAAAATCAAATTAATTTTAAACCAAGTTCAATTCTAATCTACACACACCCTAATAACTCATCGAACATAAATGAAGCCAGCGATTAGTACACATGCTTTCATGGTACGAAACTTATCATCGAACGATGTTTGGGGCAGGAAATGGGGGTTGGAGGGGTGGCCCACGGGTTTGGGACTTTTTTGACAGCTCTATTGAACATCATGCCTTTCCTTTTTATCGTGAATGAGAACTTCCCCCAATGTTTGACCTTTTTATCCTGTTAGCGTAAGTTGTTTTTAGAATGGTGTAACTTTTTGAAATAATTAATGAACTAGTGTGAATTTAACAAAATCGTAGTCGATAATCACGAGATACATTCTCAATTTAACTAAAATTGTAGGATTCCCCCAATTATATTTTTTATGTTTATTTATTTTTAACTTATTCTTCACAAACACGATTTCTTTATTACAATATTATATATAACTTATTTTTTATAAAAATTATGAATGACATTCGCGACTTAACTTTTTTCTTTTTTGAAATTTTAAAATAAATCATAAAGACATAAACAACATTTAAGAATATTTTTAAAAACATTATTATCAGCTACGACTTATTAATCATCTCCAGCAAATTGTCTACCCTTAGCATCCTAGCAAGCTCACAAGTCAAAAGCAATTTATAAAGGAAATATTATTTTAATATCTTATACAACACACACACACAAAATCTATTATAAAAAAAGAAAGAAAATAAATTATACAATACTACGTTGCATAAGTGTCAAATATATTATGCTTCTAATATTAAATATGGTTCAAATAATAATTAAAATAATTTAAAATATAGTATTAATTAAATAAAATATTAAAAAATAGTAAATTGTCAATAAATAGATAAAATCCTAATCTTTATTGTTGTTTCAGGTTGTTTCATACTAGAATAACAAATTACCAACATGATAAGGATGAGGAAGCAGTTGGCATCAGCTGAGTATCAAGAAAATACGAAATTAAATAAATATAAAAAAAAAATTGGTAATGCTCGCTCCACTTCTTGCTTATGCGAGTGAGTAAACGAAAAAGAAGAAAATGCTCGCTGAGCAGCTTGCTTCAGCGAGCTGGTCCAGACTCAGAAGCCCACATTTTCTCTTTAAATACAATGCGAGCAAAGCTGTGAAATAATTCTGGAATGCGGAGAAAAAAAGGAACTCAGAGACAAAGACGAAGGAAAGCACAAGTAACACTGGAACGGTGCGGAGGAGAAGGAAGAAATCAAATCTGCATCACTGATATTCACCATTAATCAAGTTTTATTATGAACCCTATTTCTTTTCCAGTATCTTTTAATTCTGTTTTTATAATTATGCATAGCTAAATTCCTTAAGTAGTTAGGGCGAGACGGAACCAATAGGTTCTTGAACGCTGTTTGCTTTTATTAGGATTTATATTCTTGATTTAAATTATGCAATCAATCTGCAATTTATTCCTAATCTTATTTATGATCTGGCCAATCTTGAATGAGCATTAGAGTCGTGCATGACAATAGGGATGTTGGTGTATCGATTCCGATTGGTTGATTGCTGGATTTTGTATGATTTAGGGATAGACTTATGAATTCTATAACTGTAGGTTCTTGCATTAATGCTTATTTTATGAAAAAAATTCTAAGGGATTAGGCTTTGGATTAGAACAAAGGATTGGATTACCAAGGGATTGAGATTTAATCAATCATAGAAAGAGCTGTTAATAATTTGATCTTGAATGTAATCGTAAGTACAGGCAAACTCGTTAAGAAACCATTGGGGAAGTTGAATCCTAGCTACGCCTTTTTATTTAAAACTCAAAACCAATTTCTAGCATTCTAAATTTTGAATTTAATTTCTTGAATATTAAAAACTAAAAATAAGTTTACAAATTCTGTTTTTAATTTAATTACAATATTCTCAAGAAATCCTTTTATTCGATCCAACTTTAGTTAATTAGATAAATTATTGCTTGGTTATCAGTCCTCGTGGGATCGACAATTTTTCTTATCACTTTATTACTTGTACGATCGGTGCAATTGCCGAGTTCGCAACACATAAGGCCAAATAACATGTTATGCTAGTGGATATTCACACCATCCATTAAGAATTTTTTGTCCACTTTAACATGAAGGCCTCCTATGCATTATGGAATATGAAATATATATTTTGATGATGACAAAGGGTTTACAAAAAGTCTCAAATTGAAGATGGTGTGTGAAGATACAAGTGATTAGGTATTTTTAGAAATTATGTTACACACTATATTATATCATCTAGTATCTACCTAAGCTCCAATGCATATCATTGCATTAGATGCATTTAGTTGGATGCATTTCATATTACAAATTAAATAAATAAAAAATCTAAACAAAATAAAAATAAAAATAAAACAATTAAAAATCAGTTTGCTTTTAATATAAAAACTACTTTAAATAGCATTTTAATAAAGTTATCAGGTCACGTTGGTTTTCAGGTGACTTGAATGTAAAGTTGCTTTAAATAATAAATATAATAAGAAAAGGTAAAATAAAATAGCTTTACCAATTGAAAAAGCTATACGAAAGTTCACGTAGTGGGTTCTCTTAAGTAGATACTATGCAATATAAAAAGAAAGCAATACACAAAAAGGGAACACACTTTACCAATTCATACTTTCGTCTTCGTCTTCGTCAGTAACGCTCACATCATTTTTCTTGTTAACATTCATTTTGAAAGAAGAAGAAAAAAAAAAAGGAGAAGAAAAACACAGTGCTCATTTTCACTTGCTGATCGAGTCTTCATCATTCAATCATTCAAGAAACGCTGATTCTCTCTCCTTCTCACCTATCTGTGTTCATCATTTTCTTGGAGAAAAAATCTGGTTCATGTGAGAACAAATCATTTCATATTTGGGGATTTTTATGGTATACTCAAGAAACTCAAATCCTCTGTGAATCTTTGATTTAAAGCATTTAATCTGAAATTTCCAGATCTGTTATTTCATATGCTTTAGGGATTTTGAGTTGTTTAATCTGAATATTAAATTCTTGAGTTGTTCATTAGTATAAAAATTTACTGTTAAAATTTGGAATCTGATTTTTGCATCTTGATTTTTCTGTTTTGATTTTATGTGAATATCTTAGAAATCTTGATGCTCTTTGAGTAAGATTTGTGTTTCTAATTTTTGGGAAATATTGATTAAAAATATTAAATCTGAATTTATCTTTACATCTTGTTATACATTGTGTTAATTCAGATTTTTGTTTGAAATTTATTGTTTAGAAACCTAATCTTGAATTGTTCTAGAAATTTTATTGTTAGAATATTAAATCTGAATTTTCTGTTTTAATTGAAGTATATTGTGATTAAAATTCAGATTTCTTTTAGTTTATTATTAAAAGATTTATCTAGAACTAATTCTGAATTTTATGTGAAATTTTGAGATAAATTTCAAATCTGATTTTTCTGGTTATAATTGTGATATTCTTTTTAAATCAGATTTCTTGGTGTCCATTGATTAGAAAAATAATTGTGTAATATCCAAGCTCCTTTGTGCATTAATTTTAGAGATTTTAATACATATGTCATTGGATTAATTTTCTGCATATGGCATAAATTTGTGGAGCTTAGTTTGATATTACTGTGATATATTTGGTGTGATAGGACACTGTAATTTTGGTTTATTTCACTTGCTACAATTCTGAAAATTCTGTATTGATTGTTAAAGTGGAGTAGTTGTGTGCTGTAAATCTGTCCTAGGTGTGTGGGTGCAACCGTGAGGGTTGGCGACCTTGTGCTTGGCTTGAGAGTGTGTCTCAAGGCCTGGAGCCTCAAGAATCCACTAGGGAGAGTGGAGGTCTTGTGAGAGGAGTTGGTGAACTCCGTAGGTTCGGCTTGAGAGTATTCTCAGAGCTTGGAGCAGTGTAGGCACTAGGAAGATTTTTGATATCTTGTTTGATTGCATGTGTGACGCGTGTTTGTAAAACTGGTACACTTGTGATAAATAAAATATCTGCAGCTACTTCAGTCTGGACGTAGCACCCTACTTAGGCTTAGTGGGTGTGAACCAGGATATATCGTGTGTCCATTGTCTCTCTGATTTAATTTCTGAATATTTTGTTTAGAGACTGACAGTTACACTAGTTCTATTATAACTGCTGCGTTTATACTCTATAAATTGCTAAGGTACGCTTTCTATTACTACATTGTTCTTAGCATTGCGAAAAACTATTTTGGGCATATAGGGATTGAAGAAAAATTGTGTAATTGTTTACTGAATTCAAAAAGATTTTGAAAAAGTTGAGAACACCTATTCACCCCCCCTTCTAGGTGTTCCGTAAGCGTCCTGTGTAAGAAGCCACTTGCCCAACATAACAAACTACTCTTTCGAAAGAATCTTATGTCGACTCTTTCACCTAAAAGGGGTTATTTACCTCTTTAAGGCTTTAATATATCAATTTGATATTTGATTTCCAATATTTATCAATAGGGGTATTTAGTAGCATGGGGGACCCCAGCGACACTGAGAGTCGCCCCCACCCCCGGTGACACTCACGCGATTGTGCCAAGGGGC